AACAATACCATCGAACGTGATGTGTGTGAAATGTTACCTTTAAAAACAACCACTATTACTGGGTAATACAACAATATCGTCAAACGTGATGTGTGTGAAATGTTACCTTTAAAAACAACCACTATTACTGGGTAATACAACAATACTGTCGAACGTGATGTGTGTGAAATGTTACCTTTATAAACAACCACTATTACTGGGTAATACAACAATACCATGAAACGTGTTGTGTGTGAAATGTTACCTTTAAAAACAACCACTATTACTGGGTAATACAACAATACTGTCAAACGTGATGTGTGTGAAATGTTACCTTTAAAAACAACCACTATTATACTGTTTATATTATAATTCATTAGGTGTAATTTTCAACCATAAAGAAGTGAGTACTTCTTATTTAATCAAATCTCAAAGCTTGTTTTTTTTAATAAATATGCTATATAAACTGTTTAAATTCAGGCAAACAAAATTAAAGGTATGTTTAAAATATTGACTTACAACTGTTCCAACTTCTCCAGTCCCCGAAAAGCATCCTGTCCAATAGTTCTAATTCTATTTTTGTATAAATATCTGAAATATATATATATATATATATACAAACTTGGCATTTAATATTCACAAGCAATACTTTCCGAGTTCTTGACAAAAACACCAAAATGGACAACATTTTATTTATAAAATTTTGAAACTAATAGGTCTGAACTATATGCAAGATATGAAACCAGAGTGTCGCAACTGTAGTTTAGGCAAAAAAAACTCAAGTTTCGGTTTGTCAGCTGTTACATCAGAATATTTTTTAATTTATAATCAAAGCCTAGCTCACACGATAGTATTTACACTAATCTGTGACAACAGTGTTGTTCATATAACTTTAGATGAAAGATCTGTTCCAATAAATCTTACCTTTTCAATATAACTAATAATAGCCATATCATTATTCGTCTAAAACATCTTTTATATTCTATGCTGTTGATAAAATGACAATTCAACCACCTTACTGTTCTGCAATGAGGCTAATGTTACAACCAGGAACCTATTTATTTTTCAACAATGAAATAAAATTATAATAAAAACCATCTAAATATTCAACAATGAAATAAAATTATAATAAAAAACATCTAAATATTCAACAATGAAATAAAATTATAATAAAAACCATCTAAATATTCAACAATGAAATAAAATTATAATCAAACCACCATACTATTCAACAATGAAATAAAATGATAATCAAAACCATCTAAATATTCAACAATGAAATAAAATGATAATCAGAACCATCTAAATATTCAACAATGAAATAAAATTATAATGAAACAGAATGATAGTAAAACTACCTTAATATTCAACAATGAAACAAAAGGGTAATAAAAACGGTTTTAATATTCAACAATGAAATAAAATGATAATAAAAACTACCTTAATATTCAACAATGAAACAAAAGGGTAATAAAAACGGTTTTAATATCCAACAATGAAATAAAATGATAATAAAAACTACCTTAATATTCAACAATGAAACAAAAGGGTAATAAAAACGGTTTTAATATTCAACAATGAAATAAAATGATAATAAAAACTACCTTAATATTCAACAATGAAATAAAATTCATCTTATTATATGACAATAAAACAATAGGGTAACAAAGATTAACTTACAATACAGCAATAAAACACAATAATCTCTTTACTATTCTACAGTGAATACAACACAACAATATCACCTTATGTGTAAGTCTTTACTCAACACAATTCCCTATCTTCCTATTTCTTATAAAGCTAACACTACACAAGTTGGATATACAAATATATTTGTTCCTTTCGTTAGGATTAGGAATTTATGTTTCACCTGAGCCTAAGGTCACTCACTGCACTGACAGATCTGTGAAAACCGTCGCTCATCAGTTCGAATGATGTCTACTTGAATAGAAGGGCACTGATCCAACAAGAGGGCTATCTAACTTGAAAGAAATCGTAGCACGTGACAAAAGTAAACATAGAATTAAAAAATAAAATATTTAGAAAATGTGTTGATGTTAGAAATATCTACATCTGTACATGGCCTTTCATGTAGGTCTTGAACTCTATCGACATCTATACATGGTCTTGAACTCTAACACTAAGTGGAAGGTCATTCTGAAGAGCGCATATTTCCGCCATACAGTGTTGATCATATTCGGCTCTCAAAAAATATGAAAATGTGTCCGTCGTTATTAACGGACATAGACCATTTTTGACAGGACAATGATGAATAAAATTCTACACAAGTACACCCAGTTTCATCAAAATCCGATCATTTTTGACTGAGTTATAAGCAAAAGTAGTGTAAAAAAATCTGTCTCCATGGTAACAGATAGAGAATATTTGGATTTTCGTAACCTTTTACCTTGACCCTCCAAAAACTAATCACCTCTAAGTTGGGTCATAGTACAAATATATACCAACTTTCGTCCAAATACATTCAGCCGTTTGCGAGAAATCTTGCTGACAAACACATACACAGAGGTGGAAACATAACCTTCGTCCACCCTCGGAGGCGGAGGTAATAACTTGAATGCGGAATAATGTCCACTTATGTCCAGAGATTCCATCAAATGTTGTCTGGAAGAAATTCAGTTGTTAACTTCAGCAATATTAATCAGTTGCAGTAACGGGACACGAGCCATGAACCCTGCTGGCCCACCCACTATCCTAGACCAAAATATATTTTGTTGTAGTTTATCATCTTCTGTTATAGACGCCGACTCATGCACAAAAATGACATCAAAAATTACCCCCCCCCCCCCCAGTGGCAAAGCGGTATGCCTGCGAACTTACAACGCTAGAAACCGGGTTTCGATACCCGTGGTGGGCAGAGCACAAATAGCCCACTGTGTAGCTTTGTGCGAAACTACAAAACAAACAAACAATCAAAAATTAGAACAAATCACGTGGATTCGAGAAATTAAATTCTTACTTTGAATGTTTGTTAAACTAGACAGGTTTAATATAGCCGTACAAGGTCAACTTGGACTAGTTCCTACACTTCCATATTGACCACACGTAATACACAATTACCAAAAACTCAGTACTTACAAGTATCGCAATTCCTTCAGGCCTGTAAACGCATTATCTTCTATCTTCGTAATATGATTGTTGTTTAGCAATCTGTAAAACATAAATAATCTTAACATTTATACAAAATAAATATAATATTTTTCATTCACATACTAAATAAACACCTTTTCAAACCACTTACAAATAACGTGACTAAATACACGTTTATCCTAACAATACATACGTTACTACTAATTTACCAGGTAAAATTAACATAGAACGAATTAATATTACGTAAGAATTAACAAACTAATACTTAAAGATTATCGATTCTGACATTACTAGAAGGCCTAGGATGCTGACGTCATTTTTTTTTTTTTTTGCATTTAGAAATTACAGAAAAAGATGCTAAATAATAGTAATAATGACAAAGAAACATCTAAAATTTAAAATCCACTTTCTGTCAACTTTACACTCAAACTGATTTAGTTAGTATTTTCTAATATTAACCAATCACGTTTCAGAAGAGAACTTTATAAGATTATAAAGGCCTAGGTCGTAATAACGTACTTACAGTGTATTCAAGTGTTTGAGATTTTTAAAAGTATTAGCAGTGACCTCCTTTATCTTGTTGAATCTCAAATCTCTGCAAAACATAAAAATACCGATTAATTAAACCTAGTTACATATTATACATTTTATTGTTTAGCCCTAATTAATTGATTATTAATTAATCTTTTAACCCTAATTATATATTGTTAATGATGCATGCTTAACCCAAATTACTTATCTGTAATACTGATTTTTTTTAATCCTTATTATATATTGTTAATATTGATTGGTTAATTCTAACTACGTATCATTCATATTGATAGATTAGCCCTAATTTCTTATATTTGAAGTTAATTGTTTAATCCTAATTGCATATAATTAACACTAAAATGTTGTACCCTAACTACATTTTATATAAAATAATTGATTAACTCTCATTACATATTGTTAATATTGATTGCTTAACCCTAATTATTTATCACTGATATTAATTGTTTAATCCTAATTACGTATAGCTAACAATGATTGCTGCCCCCTAAATGCTTATTATTTAAATTATGATAATTGGTTAATTCATTACATACCATTGATATTGATTGGTTAACCCTAACTACTTATTGTTCATATTGATTGGTTAACTCGAACTACTTACTGTTAATAATAATTGTTTAACACTAATTACATATAGCTAACGATAACTGATGTACCCTAACTACATGTTGTTAATAATAATTAGTTAATCCTAACTACGTATTGGTATTATTACTTCGTTAGCTTTTGATACTGTTATTAGTAGATGTCCTTAGAACTTAATTATTGTTAATTGGTACACTAATTGGCAGAAGTGACTTACAAATTAATTCTTTAACAGTTTTAACTAAACAATGTAGCAGGAATACAGACAGAAGGACAATTAACTCCTTAACACTCCTAACCAAACACTCTGACATCACAGTAATAAATAAAAAAGCACCAACAAAAATGTATAGTCTATGTAAAGTTTCTCGTATACTATGCCTGTTTTTTATTGTTGCTGTTGTCGTCATTCGTGTATTTTTGTTGGTGGTGTTGTTATTTTCAGATCATATTCTTAAAAACATTAAAAATTTCATCCCTGGAAAATGACGATATTAATTTATTATTTATTGTTATTTAGGAAACCTTCGATTTTTATTGCTTCTTACACCATTATCTTATTTCCTTTCCCATCCTCTTCGAACCTCCCCCACATATCATATGTCGCGTACTTGAACTGTAATTAAACATCTATAAATGCAGATCATACGAATCATGGAAATTTAAACAGAATGCGTCTCTCTCTTCTTCATTTCTGACCTCCAGAACAAATCCAAATACGACATTCTTCAACTGACCTCTACACAACCAACTAAATCAACTGATTATAACACCGAATTCTGAAAACACAACAGTCTTCTTTACGAATCAGGGTAATTTATAACACCGAGTAGTAAAACACAACATCCTTCTTAGTTAATTAGGGTACACTGATAAACCCCAGTGTTTCACCAATGCTACTATTTCATGTATTCACAGTATTTTACTAATGTCACTATTTCATGTAGTCACAGTATTTTACTAATGTCACTATTTCATGTATTCACAGTATTTTACTAATGTCACTATTTCATATTTTCATGTTTAATATTTTTACTATTGTCACTATTTCATATTTTCATGTTTACTATTGTCACTATTTCACGTTTTCATATTTAATATTTTTACTATTGTCGCTATTTCATATTTTCATGTTTAATATTTTTACTATTGTCACAATTTCATATTTTCATGTTTAATATTTTTACTATTGTCACTATTTCATATTTTCATGTTTAATATTTTTACTATTGTCACTATTTCATATTTTCATGTTTAATATTTTTACTATTGTCACAATGTTTTCACAGTATTTTACTAATGTCACTATTTCATATTTAATATTTTTACTACTGTCACAATTTCATATTTTCATATTTAATATTTTTACTGATGTCACTATTTAATATTTTTATATTTCATGTTTAATATTTTTACTATTGTCACTATTTCATATTTTCATGTTTACTATTGTCACTATTTCACGTTTTCATATTTAATATTTTTACTATTGTCGCTATTTCATATTTTCATGTTTAATATTTTTACTATTGTCACTATTTCATATTTTCATGTTTAATATTTTTACTATTGTCACTATTTCATATTTTCATGTTTAATATTTTTACTATTGTCACTACGTTTTCACAGTATTTCACTAATGTTTAATATTTTTACTATTGTCACTACGTTTTCACAGTATTTCACTAATGTCACTATATTTTCACAGTATTTCACTATTTCAACCCCTTCTTTCTCTCTCTCCATTTCATCTCTTTCTATTTATACTCATGACCTAAACTATGCTTCACTTCAAGGATAGTCCCTAGTGATGTCAGTCTAACAATAAATATATAATTTCCTGAATTTAACATATCACAGTTTTGAAAGCGTTAGAAATTATAAAGATCGTTAGTCTTACGCCCACTGCCACTTCTCTGTAGAAGATATACAGAATGATTCAATTGGAGTTTATTTAATAATCCATTCCTATCAGCCGTAAATAAGAAATAGAGAGAAACAAAATGTACAAACGCAATAAAAAGAGAAAAAGTTAAGTGTCTTCTATCTTAAACACAAGAGTACACAAGTACAAATAGGTTATTATATCCTCTCGCCTACCTAAATTCGTCTCTGTCATTACATTTCTTACGTATGAGAGCATTGAAAACATCACCATTTTGCTTATTTATTTGTTTTCCTTTTCAGATTGCTGTCATATTTCTCTTCGTTTTATAAACCGGGCTGTTATCTATATAGTGGTTTCCATAGAGATAGAAATATAATTATATAAAAGGTATCTTCTATATTTGGTGGACGTTAAAAACAAGGTAAAGACACTAAAAAAAAATACTGAATATCTATAAAGGAAGTGGACAAACGAATAGAAAATTAAAAGCATATTGACCATCAGTAAAGGAAGTGGATGAGAAACTAAAGAAACTTGTTGATCATCAGTAAAGGAAGTGGATGGAAAACTAAAGAAACTTATTGATCATCAGTAAAGGAAGTGGATGGAAAATTAAAGAAACTTATTGATCATCAGTAAAGGAAGTGGATGAGAAACTAAATAAACTAGTTGATCATCAGTAAAGGAAGTGGATGGAAAACTAAAGAAACTTGTTGATCATCAGTAAAGGAAGTGGATGGAAAACTAAAGAAACTTGTTGATCATCAGTAAAGGAAGTGGATGGAACTAAACAAACTTATTGACTAAGCAACCAGTCCTCTCAAAGACTAAACAACACAGTCCTCTCGATAGTTCGAAAGTCGTTCATCGTAACTGCAGCTAAACTTATGATTGCATTTTTTTTTATACATTCAGGAAGATGATTTCACTGTTTCCACTCTTAATCTCCCACTGCAGCTTGTGAGGTCTCTTAAGAAACTTTTATCTACGATCCACACGAACGACTGACGTGCAGAAAGATCATGTCGGACACACACACACACACATCTATTCCACGAATAAATCTTCAGATGTTAACAGCTTCGATAATTACAAGGGAAAGATGGAAACACCACAAAGAACACCAACCGTTCTTCTTACAATTTCCTTATATCACAAACACGCAGACAAAAAAAGAAAGAGACATAAATATTACTGATATACGCTCTATATCCACAGCGATAATAAAATAACGCTAGAGAGAATAAATTCCATCGCTTAACAGTGTAATGGAACAAATAAACTCAGCAACACAATAATTACATTAGAATTTCTGGGACTGAATTAACCTGATTAAATATTTATTGAACAACATCCTCAGCATCAAATATTCATCTTCAGTTCTATAAACTACAAACTAAACTATAAACAAGTAGTTGAGGATGAATTAGTCCTTATCTCACAAGGAACATTTACACATTTTACTTTCACAATTCATAAGTCAATGTTCTTTGTGAAGTCTGACTCTAACCCGAAATCTAGCAAAATGGTAGACAATAAATAGTTACGTTTTGTAAATACAGAAAACTGTCTGTGAAGTCTGACTCTAACCCAAAATATAGCAACATGGTAGACAATAAATAGTCACGTTTTGAAATACAGAAAACTGTCTGTGAAGTCTGACTCTAACCCAAAATATAGCAAGATGGTAGATAACAAATAGTCACGTTTTGTGAATACAGAAAACTGTCTGTGAAGTCTGACTCTAACCCAAAATCTAGCAAGATGGTAGACAATAAACAGACCAGTTTTGTAAATACAGAAAACTGTGTGTGAAGTCTGACTCTAACCCAGAATCTAGCAAGATGGTAGACAATAAACAGTCACGTTTTGTAAATACAGAAAACCTTCTGTGAAGTCTGACTCTAACCCAGAATCTAGCAAGATGGTAGACAATAAATAGTCACGTTTTGATGAACGGTTTCTATTTTTACCCTGAGTCACGTTTTAATAAATGATTTTTCTACCTTATCCCGAGTCACATTTCAGTGGGCGGTTTCTCTACTTTATCCTAATTACGTGACATTATTTAAAGTCGCCACCTGCTGGCTAGATTTCATATTAATGTATTTATACTTTGTCCTAATGTAGATTGAAGTACTTGTATATAATTTATGCATCTTCTCTTTGTTATACGTATGGTAAACGATAAAATAATTAGTAGAAACGCGTGTTGAAAATTATTTATTTTTATTTAAAAATCACCTCAAAAAACTACGCCAACAATTCACTAAAACATTCGAACATTCTGTTTTATAACACATTATAACAACAGATGTCGCTTGTCAGAAGAGTGTTTTATAACACATTACAATAAAATAATGTCGCTTGTCAAAAAGAGTGTTTTACTTGGAATCCAGCCAAGTTAAAATAGGTTTCAAAAATCCCTGGTGGACTGAAGCTAAAATAGAAAAGTGGATTAGATAAAATATCTTAATTATTTTCGGAAATTATAATAAACGATGTTTACCGTAAATGTAGAAAAAAACCTGGAATATACAGGCAAAACATTGGCTAGTTAATGTTATAAAACAAAATCTGG